CCTTGCCGAGGAAACGCTGATCCCAGGTCAGGAATGGTTCCCACGTCCAGGGATGGGCAGCCCCACCAAGCCCTCAAGTCCCCGAGTGTTCTCCCCAGGAGATTTAAGGTTACAGATACAATTTTTAAGGTTACAGATATAATTACCCGGCGTGGCTTGTACAGGATGTCTGATTTCAAAGTAAAATCGGAGTATTATCCATAATGTTATGCAAAGCACCATAGCAACAGCGAGGAGCCTTCGAAGAAATGCTAATGAGGGGAGAAATGCTAATGAGGGGAGAAATGCTAATGAGGGGAGCTGTTCTGCACAACCCGGCCTGGCCAAGCGAAAACAAACACCCCACTTAAAATTCCTAACAAGGAACTCACACATTCCTGCAGCAGAAAAACCCCACTGCGAGAAATTCCTTACAAAGCTTTTGGGAAGGGGCACAGGATCTGCCTCTGGAACAGGAGAGCCCCGCAGGGCTCCCAAAAACTCAGGGAAGGACTGGGATGTCCATGCAGGGCCATAACCCAGGGAATGGATCCAGAGCCAGCATCCAGAGGCACAGGAAAACTCGATGAAGTTGGGAATAAAGCCCCAAATTGAGATGAGCTGCTGAAGAACACAAGCCACGTGCAGAAAAAGGGAAGGGTTAAATCACAGAGTGTGAATCCATGAGGATCCTGGAATCCAACCCTGAGCCCTGCACAGGACACCCCCACGAGTCACCCTTTCCCTGAGAGCATTTCCAAGCCCTTGCACTCTGCTGGGCTGGGGACAGAACCATTCCAAACACAGGATTTTACCAACCCAGTGACCCCAACCCTTTGCTTTGTATTCCAGGTTAAGACAAGGAAAGAATAATGTGGTGAATACTTGGATAAACCACACGAAGTGAGAATCAAAACCTCATTAAAAGGCTGAATTTAGCAAATGCAGGGCTGCAGTGCAAGTGCTGAGCCTGGGTGAGGCTGGTCAGGCAAGCAGGGAATGCCACCAGCCCGTTCCTCTCCAGGGCCATGGGAATGGTGCCCAAGAGAGCAGAGCTGGGACAGCACCTGCCCCACCATGAGGAGAGGAGCCTGGGCCAGCAGCTCCTGGGGAATGGGCTGTGGAAGGTCAGCAGCTCCTGGGGAATGGGCTGTGGCAGGTCAGCAGCTCCTGGGGAATGGGCTGTGGCAGGTCAGCAGCTCCTGGGGAATGGGCTGTGGCAGGTCAGCAGCTCCTGGGGAATGGGCTGTGGCAGGTCAGCAGCTCCAGCTGCCTTTGGGCACAGCTGCCAGGCACAGAGCAGCTGAGCTGGGCTCAGATCTGCCTTCAGGTGCCTGCAAAACTCTGCTGCTGCTCTGCTCCCATCTGCCCACCTGCACACCGGTGCTGGGCAGGCTCAGCAGCACCACAACAGGGGTGAGAACCCTGAAATCATCCAGAGAAATGGAAAAAGTAGCCTGAAAACGGGACAAAACCACCCAGGAAAGAGTTCAAAAATGTCTTTTCCCTCCCCAAAGCCATCGGATCTTGATTCAGTCAAGTCTGAAAGCTCCAGCTCTAACAGAGCTGTCCAAGGTACAATTACAGGCAAACCCACCCTTAACAGGCATTATCCTAAGAAAAGGGAATTCTGCAATGCCACTCCACTTTAAATCCACATTTGCTATTTATTTAGGCAGCTGACACTTTGAAATAAATGCAAATAAATGCCAGTTTCCCGAGGCACGCATCCCATTCCTCATCCTCTCTCTGTGGCCTCAGCTCTACTGGAAATTCCAGGATTTAGCAGCTGCCTTTAATATTTCTCAAGCATGACAGTAATAGAGCAGCAGAGAATGAGCGAGGTGGCAGGAGCACATGGAGAGTTTCAGCCCAGCTTTCAGATGACACATTAAATCCAGACACTGCTTCATTCAAAGCGGGGTTCAATATTATAATCTATAAATCAGTATTTGCTTTACAAAGTGTAATGGAAAATGCTAATAGGATTTACTTGTGAAATGGAATTGGATTATGTCTTATCTATTTTAACTTGATTTGGTGGAGCATTCCTTCAGCACCAACCAGCAGCTTCAATGGCTTCTCTCCTTTTCTGCCCCCCCATCCTTTTGGAATTCAGGCAGATTCTCAGGCCACCCTCTTTCGAAGGGAAATTAGGGAGGACAGACATGAATTAAGTAGAAAATGTAGATGATGGTGTATCAAGCAGTGTAATGAACCCCCTGTAAGTCATTAGAGCCACGGCACGTGTGCTGGGAGCTCCTTGTTTGTGCAGGGCTGGAACCTGCCCAGCCAAGAAACCTGAATTTCACAAAATTCATTGAAACCTGAATTTCACAAAGTCATTGAAACCTGAATTTCACAAAGTCATTGAAACCTGAATTTCACAAAATTCATTGAAACCTGAATTTCACAAAGTCATTGAAACCTGAATTTCACAAAGTCATTGAAACCTGAATTTCACAAAATTCATTGAAACCTGAATTTCACAAAGTCATCGAAACCTGAATTTCACAAAGTCTTTGAAACCTGATCATTTTCTTGTCTCTGCCTGGGCGACTGAACAGCTGCTCCGTGCCACGAATATCCACGTCCCAACATGGCCCTGCACCAGGAGTGGAGTCATGGAAGGACAGCAGGAACACCATGGTGGAACGACACCAGGAATACAATCATGGAAGGACACCAGGAATACAATCATGGAAGGACACCAGGAATACAATCATGGAAGGACACCAGGAATACAATCATGGGAGGACAGCAGGAATACAATCATGGAAGGACAGCAGGAATACAATCATGGAAGGACAGCAGGAATACAATCATGCAAGGACACCAGGAATGCAATCATGGAAGGACAGCAGGAATACAATCATGGAAGGACACCAGGAATACAATCATGGAAGGACACCAGGAATACAATCATGGGAGGACAGCAGGAATACAATCATGGAAGGACACCAGGAATACAATCATGGGAGGACAGCAGGAATACAATCATGGGAGGACAGCAGGAGTGTGTGGGAGCAGTAGCAGAGGAAAAGAATTCACAGAACTGTTCAGGTTGGAAAAGCTCTCCAAGACTTCAAGTCCAACTTTTCCCCAGCACTGCCAAAGCCACCACTGACCCAAGTCCACAGGCACCAAATAAAAGGATGGAATTTCTGGGGAGAAAGCCTTGTTCTTACCAGTTTGTTGTGGAAATGAACAGATGTCTTTAAAGAAGAACCAGGACTGAAGAACATTTGACAAAGGAAACTGCCCAGCCAGAGGAGCTGAGGGCTTCCTCTCTATTTCTTTCATGAAGAACTTTCCAGATTTACCCTCGGAAATCAACCCACTGTAAATTCCTCACAAGCAGTGACTGCAGGCGGATGCTGCCGAGCTCCTGCTCCGTGCTCAGCCCCTGGGGACACGTCCCAGCCCAGCGGGGCTGTGAGCAGGGAGCTGTGACAATCCAGCCGTGTGTCACGGCTGCAGCCACAGCCCAGCCCCACACTGCTGCCACCAGATTGCCACCCCCTCCTTCTGGAGCCGTGAGGAGTTATTAAAAATACTCCACATATTCCTGTAGAAGCTTTCCTGAACCTGACACAGCACCAGTGCATCCATGCTTCGGCTGAGGACACTCCCAGCGTGGCCCAGGTGGCTGCAGTGGGACACAGAGCAGCTCTGTGGCTTCAGTTTGGACTCTTTATTGTCAGTAATTACCCAGTAATTAACCAGCTCAGCCCAGGACACGTTGTTGCTGCACAGCAAGAGCCTCACAGCGAGTGCTGCAGCCGGGCCTGAGCAGCCCTTGCTCGGGGCAGGTCCCAGGCAGGAGCTCCAGAGCCTCACCACGGTTTGGCTCTGGCCACCCAAGCCAGGTCCAGGCTGGGATTTGTGCGTGTTTAGGTCTTGGGAGGCAAGAGAGAGTCCCTGGGTTTACCACATCCACTGGGATTTTTAAATGGGAAAAAGGCCACAAACACCTCTGAGCAGCCCCGGGTGACAGCAGTGGACACACCTGGGTGACAGCAGTGACCACACCTGGGTGACAGCAGTGAACACACCTGGGTGACAGCAGTGAACACACCTGGGTGACAGCAGTGAACACCTCCAGGTGACAGCAGTGAACACCTCCAGGTGACAGCAGTGAACACACCTGGGTGACAGCAGTGACCACACCTGGGTGACAGCAGTGAACACCTCCAGGTGACAGCAGTGAACACACCTGGGTGACAGCAGTGGACACACCTGGGTGACAGCAGTGACCACTCCCAGGTGACAGCAGTGACCCCACAGTGATGGGGATGAGGTGTTTGCTCCCAGCCCACATCAGCTGGGACAAGTCTCTGGGGGAGACACAAGGCTGACATCTCGTATTTGTCACCAATAAAGCTGCCACAGCGACTCCAAGACCAGAAACAAATGACACGCTGGGTAATTGAAGGGAACCAAAGGAAATTGTCAAAATGAACAACAGAAATTATTCACATTGTCTTGCCTGCGTTTTCTCATGTGTTGGAGGGAAGGAGAACATTTCACATCACGCTGAGTGCTAAATCAGATTCAGAGCCAAGCTGAGAACAGCCCCTTGGTGTGGGAGTCCCAGCAGGTCAGCCCTGGGTCACCCAGCAGGCAGCAGGGTCCCCACAGCAGCAGTGTCCCCCAGACACCCTGCTGCCCCTCTGGGAGCAGCTCACACTGCCATGGAGAGCAGTCCCCCTCCAGTGAGCAAGCAGAGTTCCTCATCTCCTCATTCCGCTCACAGCACCACAAGACAAACCAGGAAGGGCTCAGCCCAGCATCCACAGCAGCCACCAGAACCCGCTGCAATCATCACCCAGAAATGAGAGTCTGCACCTCGAGCTCGCTGTGGCCTCCTCGGTCACACGCTCTGTGGTCACTCTGTGGTCACTCCACCACAGAGCTCAGCCCCCTCAGCCACCGTGACAAACCCAGCAGCTCCAGGTCGCTGCTCCACACTCTCCTCCTCCACCACAGTGAGGGAATAAATAACAAAGAGCAGCACTTACAGTTCACTGTGACTTTTACTTTTTTCACGTCTGGGACGGAGACATCGTTTTCTGCACTGCACTCGTACTCCCCAGCCTGGTCTCTCGTGATTCCATAGATGTCCAGGTACTGCCCACTCTCAAAGGGCTTGGCTGGAATGAGACAATCACAGGAAGAAATTACTGCAGGCTGAGCACAGGACACACAAATCTGCACAGAGACTTTAACACACGCCCAGGAGCCCCAGCTCCAAGGTGAGCTGAAACCCCCTCAAACTCCTGGAGCTGACCAAAGCTTCTCTCCCGAGCCATCTCCACCCCGAGACACGGCAGAGTGATCTGTACCCCATGGGTGCCACAGAACAGAGCAGCTGGGGCTGTCCCTGCACCCCTGGCAGTGCCCAAGGCCGGGCTGGACGGGCTTGGAGCAGCTGGGACAGAGGCAGGTGACCATGGCAGGGAAGGACAAGATGAGCTTTGAATCCCTCCCAACCCAAACCAGCCCAGCCCTCCACCATTGCTGCCCTAAAAGCTGCAGCAGCCCTGCGTGCTGATGGTCTGCAGAGCCCTGCCCTGCCCTGCAGGACGGAGCAAAGGCAGGCCCAGGCCAGGGGACCCTGCAGGGACCAAAGCCACTCCTGGAGCAGCTGATCCCAGCCAGGTGAGCCAACAGTCAAACATCAACAGCGCTCCTTGGACCCAAAGGAGTGGGATTGTGGTGTCACACAGGGATAAGGACAGGCGGTGAGTGATTCCCAGGACAGGCAGAGACTTCCCTGGTGGGAGATGACAGAGATCCAAACAGAAACACTGGTGTCTGTGGCTGCTCCGTGCCCTGGAGCCATCGGGACCCGTTCACACCAGGAGCACCGACCCAGCTCCATTTGTCCCCACCTGACACGAGGCACAGGCAAATCCCAGCCCCTGCCAGCCTTTCCCTGCCTGCTCCCACCTGGCAGGGAGTGTTTGATATCCCTCACACGAAGCTGCTCCCTGCTCCCGAGCTGTCCTCCCACTCCTCTCCAGCGGCCTGGCCCAGGGAATGGCCAATTAACCACGTCACAAACCTCACTACATCACAAACCCCACACATCACAAACCCTACAGATCACAAACCCCACAGATCACAAACCCCACAGATCACAAACCCCACCCCATCACAAACCCCACACATAATAAACCCCACGAAGTTCAATGTAATTATTATTTTAGCGCAGCATCTCGCAGCAGCCATGACCACAGATGCTGGAAATTACAGGTCTAAGGGTTTAAAAGACTTGCTGGAAGTGTTTTCCCAGCCTGAAAGCCTTTAATTGGCTGTTAATAACTGTGGCTTTTGGAGCTCTGGGAAGAACTGTTATGTCATGGCCATCAAGGGGTGAATTATTTGTGTATCTGCACAAGCCTGGGCTCTGGAAAGAGGGGAAAATGTTGGGATGGTTCTGAACATCAAAGCTCTGAAATATCTCCTGAGCCACACACTGCTCATTCAAAAGTGCAACGTTTCTCAAGTAAAAATGAACTGATGTCCGTGGGAATAAGCTCAGCCTGTATTAAAACTCTCATTTTCATTGCATTCTATGGGTTATTAATGAGTTCATCTACTTTTATTGAAAAGTAAGAAATGCTTCCCGTTTATCATAAAATTGTCAAAAAGAAAAAAGATCCTGCTCATTTCTGTGCAACACTTCTGGACAGTTTTAGTTTGTGTCTCACTAAGATTTTGATCTCACTCTTGCTCCTCAGTTCCTTCACAAAGCCCCAATTATTTGACCACCTTAGCTGGAGTATTCTTCTCCTGACAAGTGGATTTTAACCAGAATATTTTTTTAAACAGGGTTTTAAGAAGGCCTGAGGATTTCTAGGAATACCTTTAATTGTCCCTGAAGGGATGCTCGAACTTGTGATAAAAATGGCATTTTCCTGAGGAGTGTCCCCGAGAAAGCCCCAGCTGCAGGGCAGTGCCAGCTCAGCCCAGGGCATGGCTCCTGGCACTGAAAGCCACTCCACTGCTCCCAGTTCCAAACTCCCAGGCTGGTGCCTACAACAAGTCCTGTTAAAAAAGGAAAGGCCACAATTCCCTGAGGGCTGTGCTTTGGGAACTCATTCCGGGAGTGATTTTATTGCTGATCCAAAGGCAAAGGGAGGAATCCCACCCTCATTTCCACTGGGTGCTGCTGATTGCTCTGCTCTCTTTAAACTGTTAATTAATGCCCTCGTTTGATACTGGGGACCATTGATTTAATGACAAGCTGTGCCTTTAGCAGCTGAACAATCCCTCCAGGACACCCAGCTGGGCCATTAAATTCCTATCAAATATTAATGAAAGCCCTGGGCTCCCGGAGCAGTTGCAGGCAGGACTGGGCCACCCAAGCCATCAGCAGTGCCCCAAGAATGTCACTGTCCTCAGGAAGGGCTGGTGGAGGAGCCTGAGCCATCCCAGGGAATGCAGGTTTGGGCTGTTTTCAGGGAATATTGCCCAGCCATGCTTCCAGCTGACCTGAGCTTCCTCCAAAGGAATCTCCCAGAGCAGCTGGGGCTGTCCCTGGATCCCTGGCAGTGCCCAAGGCCAGGCTGGATGGGTTTGGAGCAGCCTGGGACAGTGGGAGCTGTCCCTGCCATGGCTGGGGTGGGAATGGGTGGGCTCTGAGGTCCTTCCCAACCCAACCCATTCCAGGATTCCGTGACCCAGGAGAAAACAATCCCTGGGTTTGAGCTCTCTGAAGAAGGAGGTCAGAGCTGGCTGTGGAAGGCCCTGCTAGCTGAACTGGCATTGCAGGGCCAGGAGAGCACAGTGTGCCACTGAGCTCCTCCACACTGACCCTGGAACAGCCTCTCTGTCTGATCACACTGCACTCCTGTGGGGGCAGCTGGGGGAAAACACCCTCCCCAGCAAGAAAAAAAGAATCCAGCCAGAAACTTCCTCTCTAGAACTTCCAGCTTTAAAACCATCTGTAAGCAGGAGATGGAGCATTTTAAGAGTTGGCCCTTTCTACACACACAAGGCCCTGGAAATGTGATAATAATTCATGTCAGGTGAGGATTTGCAGCCTGGAAATGCAGGTGTGAAGCTCTGGCACTTCACCAAAGCCCTTCTGGTTTCTGTCTCGCTCCGTGGCTCCGTGGGAGAGGCTCTGGGGCAGGAGGAGCCGGGGCTGCCACAGCTGCAGATGGAGCTGGGTTTGCTCCTCGGGGTTCAGGGAGGATTTCTAAATCCCTCTGTGCTTCTCCCTCAAGGAGCAGGAGTGCTCTGCAGCGGTGGATGGAATGAACGCCCAGTGTCCTGCTGCCAAGGACCTGCCTCCCATTCCTCATGGGAAAATCTGCCTTTATTCACATTTCTGGAAGGCTGCTCCTCCAAACGCAGCCCTATCCCTACAGCCAGGTCATCCTCCTGTTGTGGGAAAACTGCTCACCTGGGATGGTGGAGATAAATCTGGCAGAAAAAGGAAAGAGAGCAGGGAAGAACTGGAAAATATGAAACTGGAAGTAGCCAGGGATCCCAGAATCCTGGAATGTTTTGTGTTGGAAGGGATCTTAAACCCCATCCCATTCCATGGCAGGGACAGCTCCCACTGTCCCAGGCTGCTCCAAACCCATCCAGCCTGGCCTTGGGCACTGCCAGGGATCCAGGGACAGCCCCAGCTGCTCTGGGAATTCCATCCCAGGGCCTCACAGGGGAGAATTCCATCCTGATGTCTGATCCAAAGTGACCCTCCCTCACCTTAAATCCAGTCCCCTGAGCATCCCATTCCTTCCACAGCTGGGGAGGCTCCCCTTGGGAAACAAAACCAAAGTGGGAAATAATTCGGATGCACAGCTCCTGAATTTTGGCAAGAAGGGACATTTTGTCAGGAGGTGTCTGTGCTGGTGGGACACAGCAGAGCCAAAGCTGGGCTGGGGTCCCGGGCAGAACTTCATCCTTTAACATTCTGCCTTCATTCCTAAACTATCGATGCTGCACTTTGCTGGGAAATGTCAGAACAAAATAAGTAATACCTGCAATTTATTCGGGTGACATTTCAACAATACAGATCTGGAGATTCCAGCCCCAGCCCCATTACGCTGAGTGGGGAGATTTGCTGGATTTACATAATGGGGCTGTGTAATGAATATTTATAGAATGCAAGCATTTACATAATGACTGCAAGTTAAACATGCACAATAAAGATTCCAGGCCAATAATTTACGGACTAAGTTTAAAAATCACCTTGAAATGCGTTTTATTTTTATTCCTACGAAAGGTTCAATTTATCTCTTGTTCAGAAAAATTGAATCCGACCTCATGCGAGTCGAGGCTGTGTTGATGTAAATCATGATCATATCCTGGAATTAGTCTACATTGAGTCATTTGTATTCAGAGATTTCAGTTCCTTATCTTTTAGCAGCAGCTTTGACAAACAATTTGAGAATATTCTAAATATGCTTGGTTAATATAATTTAGTGCTGGGTGGGAGATGCGCTGCCTGCCCGGGAGCCTCATTAGCGCCGCTGGGAACTGCAGCCAGGCCGGGCAGAAATGAGCAAGTGCAGATGAAGCTGAGGCAGGGAGGAAGAGCTGCTGATGGAATATCAACCACGGCAGAAGCCGGCCTCTTTGGCTCTCCTGCATTTCCTGGCTGAACAAAGCGGGGCTGTGTTTTTGGGAAGGGCTTGGTGCCGTTTGTACCTGGCTGCACCTGAGCACGGAGCTGGGATGGGAACTTCCTGCTGGGTTTGGGGCACAGAGCGTTCCCTGGGAATGGTGGGCCTGCTCCCAGCTCCCTGGGCAGGGTTTCTGAGCACAGAGCCATCTGGAGCCGTGTTCTCCCTCTCCAGACCCAGCTGTGTCTGTGAATCACCAGGCACAGAATCCCAGCATCACTGGGGGTGGAAGTGTCCGAGGCCTGCTTGGATGGGAGCACATCCAGGGGGGTCCCTGAAACCCTTCTGCTTCCCTGCACTGATTTCCACAGATTTGTTTGGGTTGGGAAGTCCCTCTGAGGTCCTGGAGTCCAACTGTTCCCCAGCACTGTCCCCAAGTGCCACCTCTTCATTTTCCTGAGCTCCAGATGAGGATGCTCTGCCTCCCCCTCAGCCCCTGCTCCAGCCTGAGTGCAGTCATTCTCCTTTCCTCCTTCTCCCTCTCCAGGAACATCACCCCAGCTCCTTTCTGCAGCCACTCAAAAGCTTTAAGCCATTAATCCAAAGTATCACCAGAGTTTCCAATAAAATTTTATTTGACATTTAGTTAAAATCCATTTTCTGCTACAACTGAATTTTTCCTCCAGTCCCTTGATGGACACTTCAAGCCCAATTCATTGTCATTGTTTTAAAGGTCAAAAGTGAGAGTTTTTCCCCAGATCTTGCTTTGTAAAGCAAACTGTTCCTCAGGATGATGAGAGGCTCTGGCAGCCCACGGAGCCCTTCTTGCCTGTAATTACACGGATTTTGTACAGGCTGGGGGAGCAAAGAAATGCCTCACTGCATGTTCCAGCTGCAGGGTCCAGTGAGGGAACCAGGGCAGTTCCAGTCCAGCCTGGGGCGGGACAGGGAGCAGCTCTGGGAGCACAAAATCCTCATTTCCAGAGCAGGGATCTCCCCACGGCCCCTGCTCTGCTCACAGGGAGCAGCTTCAGTGGGGAGAAGGCTCCGACATCAGCCAAAGCCTCTCCTTCCAGTGCCTTACCAGGAACCAGAGGGATAAATGGAAATAGCAAACAGCAGGGATATTTTAGTGGCTGTTTTGTTCGCAGTTTTTCATGCACATCCTTTCATTCGTTCAGCAAGGCCATTCTGATGAACTGTATCCTGGAATAATGGTTCAGTGGTGTGGAATCCTGCAGGATCCTGAGGGAGGGACCCACCAGGATCAGAATTCCAGCTCCCAACCCTGACACCCCAAAAATCCCACCCTGTAGCAGTGGAAGAAATGACAGCAAATTAACCTATTGCACGGCCTGGTCCTGAGTTCAACTCTCCCACGTGTTCCTCATTTCATCCTTGCTTGGATTTTACCTGGAATCGTTTGATCCATGACTGTGTTACACACATGTAAAGACATATATTCATATTTAGGGTCCTCATTCCTCTGTTAGAGGTAGAGATATTATTAAAATAGAGATATATTAAAATAGAGATATTTATATAAAATATTATATAAAATAGATATTATATTAGGTATAATATATATTAGATTATTAATAATATATTATATAGTATATATTAATATTATAATATATTAATATAGTATATATTAATATTATAATATATATAAATAATAATATATTAGATATTATTAAAAAGCAACCTATAGGATATAGTTTAAGCCCTGCTACTCTAGATAAACTAGCAGCTAGCTTGTAAGTTCTCATGTGAAAGAATCAGAAGAATGAAAATCAGTTTGCATAACAACCTATTGTGGCAGAGCAAAACAGATTCCACCTGTAATAACAACAGGTCTGTCCCATGAGGATCCACAAAGAAGAGATGTAAACCCCTGTGGAAAGTCACACACACACACACACCCCTAACCAGTGCTCCTGCTAACCAAGGGACTGAGTGGCAACAAACTCACCATCCCCTGAGAGTCCAGGTCCCTGACAGCTGTATAAATGTGAGATTTAGGGATAAACGATGGGATTTTCCTGGTTCCCATGCGCTCGCTGGCTCCCCTGGCACTCACCCGAGGGGGAGATGTGTCTCCAGGAGATGGAGGGCTCTGGTTTCCCCGTGGCCAGGCACACCAGCGTCACGTTGCTGCCCTCGTTCACCACGATGTCGCTGGAGATCCGGAATATCTTGGGAGAGACTGCAAGGAGACAGGGACAGGGTGAGGGGAGCTGCTGCCTCAGCGCAGGCAGGGCTGGGGGAACTGCAGAACCTGGCCATGGGGAGCACAGCCCTCCCCATCACACCCAGGAACTCAGCCCTGGACTCCAAACACCACAAGCAAAAAGCAGCAATTTCCCCTCCTAGAGCAGAGAGCTCCCGGGACGATGGATGCTCCTGCTCGGGGCAAGGCTGAGCTTGCTCCTGACAGTTTGCAAAGAGGACAGAATTAGGTTTTTCTGGTACTTTTAAAAATTAATGATGCTGTTCCAGCCACTCTGTGTGAGAGTCCAAGCTGCTCGCAGAGAGGACTAAAACAGATTTATTTTGTTGTTTCCTCTTGTTTTGGGGCTCGTCCATTCTCCTAACCCAAGTGCCTGTCCAGCTTTTCTCTCCCAAATTCCTGCCTGGTTTTGCTGTGTCCCAGCCCAGATGCCCCCAGCCCAAGCCACGGCTGTGCCTGTACATCCCCTGAGAGCACAGAGCTCTCCCTGGCTCCTTTTCCAGGTGAACATTCCCAGCTCTCCCAGGCTGGCTCAGAGGGCTCCAGCCCAGCTCAGGCTGTCACACAGGCACAAAGCCCTGCAGGTTTTGCTGAAGCCATGAAGATCTGATTCACTCGGCTTTTGTTGCATTTTGGGGCTTCCCATCAGGAACTTTCCCGTCTTTCTGAGGGAAGATTTGAGCTGTGACACGGTAGAAGGTGGAGAATTTTCCAGACTTGCTGCAGATTAAGTGATTTCCTCTTAAGTACGAGCTTTGTTCCTTCCCTAATTGACTGGGCTCTTCTTTAATCTGGGCTTTTCAGCGAGGAAATTAAATCAAACCTCGCTGAAGATGTCTGTAAGTCTCGTTACAATGACACTGAGCAGGTCACAGCATCGATGCATTTCCAAAAAAGAATTAGAAAAGAAATGAATCTGAGAGGTCCATTAATTAAAATAAGCCCCAAATAAGCACAGAGCTGCAGCCCTGCTGCCCAGTGTAATCCTGGCAGGTGACAGAAGTGACACAATCTGATCTGGGGCTCGTGGCAAATCGGGGATGTTATTATTGTCAGTGATTTCCCAGGAAATTCATCCTTCCCAGGATAGAAATTGGCTCCCAGAGCATTTCTGGAGCCTCACAGTTTGAGATAAATCAGGATTTCTGCTGTATCAGAAACACTGCTAATTTTTGCTCTTTACCGGCTGATAAGGATCATTACATTCAGATCACTAAAATCTGTGGAATTTAGTAATTATGACTCAGATGTATGTGCAGCATCACAATGGAACGTTAATATTTATTAGGAATTAAAAAATGTTTGTTTTGCATCCGTATTTCTTCCCACACCTCCAAAGACTCTGATCTAGGAGCAGCTTTGGCATTTAAAATCTGTTCTGCTGAGCTTGGAGTGCACATTAAGCCCATCACAGAGCTACTCCCCACCTCATGCCTCCCACCCAGATCACGTGGAGCTGTGAAGGTCAGGAAAAAATTAAATAAAGCAGCAAATAAGCATTTATTCAGTAAATGGATTAATGGAAGGGCAAAGAAATGAGATAATAAACAAGGATGAGAGAGGAATGAAGCTCCCAAGTAAATTCGGTGCTGGGATCCAACATGGAAAGTGCTTTGCAGTCAATCTGGCTTTTTCTTTTTTAATGTTAAATTAAAACATTGATTTCATGTTACTGTTTTAAAGTAAACCCTTCCCTTTTTGCACAATGTTTTGAATTTAAACCTTCCCTTTCTGGACAGGGTGTGACTGAAGGCCTGGGCAGCTGCTGCAGGAGAAGGGAGAGAACTGGGGATGATGAGCTGCGAGAAAAGAAGGCTCAGGAGAGCCCTGAGTGCAGCTCCAGGATTTACAGGCTGCCTGCAGAGCAGGTGAGAGCCCTGGCTAAATGTGCCCCAGTGTTTGGGAGGGGGGATTTTGGGGTTCCTTGTCAGGGATGTGACCCAGGAGGGCCTGGCTGGGTTGGCACCCCCACAGTTCCAAAGTTCCACAGTTCTACAATTCCACAGTTCTACAATTCCACACTTCCACAGTCTTATAATTCCACAATTCCACAGTTCTACAATTCCACAGGTCCACACTTCTGCAATTCCACAATTCCACAGTCCTATAATTCCACAATTCCACAGTTCTACAATTCCACAATTCCACAGTCCTATAATTCCACAATTCCACAGTTCTACAATTCCACACTTCCACAGTCCTATAATTCCACAATTCCACAGTTCTACAATTCCACAGGTCCACACTTCTGCAATTCCACAGGTCCACAATTCCACAGTCCTATAATTCCACAATTCCACAGCTCTACAATTCCACACTTCCACAGTCCTATAATTCCACAATTCCACAGCTCTACAATTCCACACTTCCACAGTCCTATAATTCCACAATTCCACAGCTCTACAATTCCACACTTCCACAGTCCTATAATTCCACAATTCCACAGTTCTACAATTCCACACTTCCACAATTCCACACTTCCACAGTTCCCCAGTTCTGCAATTCCACAGTCCCACAGTTCCCCAGTTCCCTGCAGCAGCACATCCCCGAATGCCCTGGAAACAACCCTGGTCCCCTAAACACCAATGCCACACCCCAAACCCTGATTTTAAACTAAACCCAACCCTAAACCTCTCAGAACCATTTAAAACCAAACAACCCCAAACATCTCCAAAAATGATTACTCCTTTGTGTAGCTGAACATCTTGCATGCCAAGTATTGATCATAAAGAAAGATAACTCTGCTTTTCAGGGTGGTAAAATAATTTATCAATACTTACTGGAAATTGCTTTGCTTTCTATACTTTTTATATTTTTTTTTCGTTTCATACTCAGATGAGCTCAATATTTACAGAGCTGTGAATATTGTCAGCCCCCACCACAAACACAATTTCCAGAGTGTCTTGAACACAGATTTTGAATCAGGAGATTTTCCAGCAGGAGCCCCCAGCCTGTGCTGGCAGCAGCCCTCCCTTCTGACAATCAGTCACCAGCCCCTTTATTTTGCATTTCCATGATTAGTTCCTCCAGGCACTGTGATTGAAGAGCGTTGCCTAAAGGTCTCCACCTCCTCCTAATTAAACACAATTTGTCTCAAACACAGCAGCTTTGGCAAAGTGGGGCTGAGGAAATAAATGATGTGTGGGCTGGGAAGAGAAATGGTTTGATCTCCAGCCTTCATTTATTTCCAATTCCTGTCAGCGTGACAAAAGGTCTCACACAAGTGGAGCTTCCCTAAGTTTGGGATGAATCTTTTGCTCTTTGATATCCGTGGCAGTGTAACCATAATCTCTGGAATTAATGGGACATCAGTGATGTTCAGAACTTTATTTTCACCTGTTTTCTGTGGTCAGTTCATCTGAGACCAATTTGGAGCCACTGTCAGGCAGGAGTGGAGAAGGAACGATCCCATTTGGGAATTCTGCACCAAAGGAGTGATGCAAACACATGATGGGATGAGATTTGTGTCTGTGGCTTGTGCCTTCCTGCCTTTCCCCCCGCCAGGGAAGCTCAGCTGTCCCAGTGGGACATTCCTGGACCACAGAGCACGCGGAGCAGGAGGTGCAGCTCAGCTTTCCCCACTCCCTGGAAAAGCTTTCAGCCACTCCACAAGCTCCTTCCAGCGAGCAACACTCTGCAATCAAAGCTCTGCCAACGGTTTAATCATGGAAATGGAGCCAAAAAGTTATAAAGGGCAAAAATAATAATGGAAAAAGCAACCTCCTGGTGGCTGGAGCCAAAGCCCTCCCAGCTGGGCACTGATTGCTGGCTGAGCAGGGCCCCATTGCTGGGGCTCAGTAACACACAGGGGTGGGCAGGGATTTCCATTCTGCACCAGGAATCAGCTGAGGTTCTCCTTTATGTCCTGGGCACTGGCACAGGCTGCCCACAGGAGCCGTGGCTGCCCCTGGAAGTGCCCAAGGCCAGGCTGGATGGGGCTAAAGAAGAAGGATCATCAATATGAAAACAGTCAGAGGTTAAAATAATCCAAGATTTCACCTGGTTAAAACCACTGCCCCCCTGGATTCATTTTATAACCAGCAGAGTGATCACTAAGGCAAGACAAGAAGAGGAGAGTTTACCCAGGGTGAGAAAGGGACTGCTGGGGGGGACAGGATGAACATTTGCCAGTTAAAAACACAGCCTGAATAAACCTCAATAAACCAGTCTGAACATCTCTAAAACCTCCTGGTCCCAGGAAGCTCCTGAAGATCTCTGTGATTAAGGAGTTGCAGATCTCTGTGATTAAGGAGTTTCAGAGTGAAAGGGGCCAAAGAAAGAGCAGCAAAACCCCACAAATATCCCAGCAGACGGATCCCTGCCCTCAGCGAGGCACCAGCAAACCCCTCCAACCTTCCCCAGGCTGCCAAAGCCATCCCCAGCTCCTCCTTCCTCCTGTGCCATCAGCCTCGGGCCCTGCTCCTCCAGAAGGGGTCAATGAGCTGCTGTTATTACATGAGGACACAACACATTATCCCCTCAGAACCCCACTGCTCCCCCTGCCACACCACAACCCAAATCCTGCAGGCTCAGCTTCCAGCCAGCAGCGAGAGCACCATCGTTTGCTCAGCCAGAAAAGCAATAAAATGTAATAATTCAAAATAAACTCAGATTTCCCTTTCTTTATCCTGGCAGACAAAGGAAGAGCTGCACCCAGGGTGTGCAGGCTGCTGAAGGGGCTGTGCGAGTTTGGAGTCAGAGAACTGTAGAGTTATGGAATATCCTGAGCTGGATATTCATCATTCCCCTCCCTGGCCCTGCACAGCCCCCCCAGGATCCCACCCTGTGCTCCTGCAGCTCTGGGGGCAGAACCTTTCCCTAAAATCCCACCTAAACCCCCCTGGCCCAGCTCCAGCCATCCCTGTCCCAGGGGCTGGATCTCCCCGTGCCCCCTGGGGGGGTTTGTACACCCCAGCAGGGATGTGCAGCTTTTAAACACAAATTCCAGCCTAAGGGGGAAAAGGGATTTTCACTGA